GGCGAACGCAGGCTAAGGAGACCAAGGCGGTGAAGGCGCGAGACAGCGGACGAGCAGCGGAGGAGAAGAAAGAGGAGGAGGCGAACCCAGAGAGGGGCAGCAAAAGAAGTGGTGGTGGTGGGCGTCGTGGCCATGGCGGCGGCTATCGCCAGCTCGCTGATCCGTCAGAAGAGACAAGCCCGCGAGCGGGAGAAATCCAACGCTTGCAAGTGTGTCAGCAGCCCCAGCAAAGGCAAGACTAGCTGCGACAAAAACAAGTTAAATGTCTTTTCCCGGGTCAAACTCTTCGGCTCCAAGAAGAGGCGCAGAAGAAGACCAGGTTGGAATGGGCTTTATTTTATCTAATTTTATTTTTATACTTTACAAGTATGGAGGGGGTGGTGGGGGACGGGTATGTAAGCGTAGGTGAGTTTGTCGTTGGCCCATCTTGTGCGGATGAGGCCACCTAGCTGGTGTGCGTGCGTGGGAAGGTGATTGCTTCCTCTCCTCCTTCGTAACAGTAACAGGCTTGCTGCATTGCAACTGCCCTGGGACAGGCGCAGAGCCTGGGTGCATATCCTGCCCAGGAGGCGCGCCCTCGGCTTCAGACATGTCACATGTGTGCATGCCCAGTGGACTCTGGGCAGGCGTGACCTAAACATGGGTTTAAATGTGTGTGGCATGGAAATCGCAGGCACGGGGCTGGGCAGACACCATCCGCCCTCCCTCCTCCTTAGAGCCTGGGGAATCCCTTTCTTGCCTTTATCTCTATCTGTCAGACCCTTCTCCTCCAGCTTCCACCCCCAAGGGATGTGGGCTTCTGCTGTCTAGGCATTACGTTTCTTTGATTACTTTTAAGCTTTTTGGGACAGACTTGACTTGTGGTGCAGCTTTGAAATGTTTGCTGGGGCGGGGGTGGGGTGGATTTCCCGAACCTTGCGGCAAAGAGCTTAGTTATCTGGTTAGACTAGTAAAACTGTGGTTACTTGCTACTAAAATGCAGGCTTGAAGAGGGAACTTAAACTCATAGCTGGATTGTGGGTCCTTTTGAACCTTTTCAGTGATAAGAGTAGCGCGATATTCCGGTGACAGAAAATTCTGACAGCTCTAGGTGTCAGGTTGCGTCAAGGTAGACCTTCAGGAGAACATGCAGCTTACTTGCCATGCTTAACCAAATTCTCTACCTTTTACTAGATAAATATTTCAGGAAATCAGACTTACTCATCGATCTGTTATTTCTCTATTTATGTGTTCTACACGCCCGGGGATGAAAACGCAAACATACGCTTTCTGTTTGTACAAAGTTTTTAATGCATTAGCTGGAAATTAGGCTTCTTTTTAAAAGGTTTAAGTGGTTGCAAAGCATGATTATGTGACTTGAAAAATCACATAAATATTATTTCAGCGCCGGTGTCTGTATTCAGTAAAAGCAAATTTTGGATAACATGGCTGTTATTGGTAAATTAGGCACTTGATTAATCTATGGTGATTCATAATTGAAAATCATTTAAATTAAGAACTCATATTTTGGATAATTATATTGCTGATATTAAATTTGAAATTAAGTACGCACTCATTTTTCTTCCTACCAACAAAAACCCTACTCTTTACACCCATTTTCCATAATGATAATTAATATGATAGGGTATGGTGACAGTTGTTTTATCTCCTTCCTCCTTTTTTGTATCAAAGGCTCAAATTTTTAAGTATAGATCCTTTGTCGGGGTTCTGGGTCATGTATGCATTTTCAACCTTAGAATGGAGAGGATTATTTAAATTGTGGTAGTTCTGAAGGAAATCTTTGCTAGTGGGTTTTTGTTTCCTGGTTGGCAAACAACTCTAAATGATTTTTGTATTTCTCCTTTTCCTTCCACATGAAAAGTGGCACGTTGTTAAAAGGCAGAATATACCATTCTCCAATCCATTCAGAAAACTTAATGAGATAGAGTACCAGTCTGTAAGCCAAAGGGCAAGCTGTCAGAAACTGTAGACCCTGCCATAAGCTTTAGTGCTTTACTAGTGTTTCCAGGCAGAAATCAAATGTTTCTTCCATTTGGAAATTTATTCTGAAACTTGGAGTTTGTTTCTTTGCTTTCTTTCTTCCAAATGACTCTTTAAAAGTGTAGTTTGACTTTTTCCACTAAAATTTGTAAATGAAATTAAGATTGTAAATTCTGCGTATTTTCAGTACATATGCACAGTTTATCAATTGATCCAAACCATTGTTCTCTTTGCAGAGCCTCAACTTAAGGGTATAGTTACCAAACTCTACAGCCGACAGGGCTACCACTTGCAGTTGCAGGCCGATGGAACCATTGATGGCACCAAAGATGAGGACAGCACTTACAGTAAGTTATTGCAAAACAAATAGTATATGCCAGCATGGTGTTGACATTGTGTTCTTTTTATTTATTTTTAAGTAAATTAACTCTTGCTAAATCCTGAAGTGAACGTAAAACGTAGTCACACTACATAATCCTGTTTACACAGGCTAACCTAAAAGAAGTTGAACATGAAAATATCTAAAATAATAAACTAGAGCAAATAATGTTGACACCATCTGAAAAGTAATCCAAATGTCATCTCCATGGTAATCTAGATAGATTTGTGGCTGTCCTTTGGATTTTATTACTTTTTTCCCACAGAAAATTTACTCACCCACACACTGATCCTGAAATAGCATGTTATCTCTACTCTTAAGATCCGGTCTCAACCCAAGAGAGAGGAGTGGTTTCATACCACGAGAATTCATTATTACAAGCTTTCACTGCTACTCCTTCCACACACGTACTGACAACCCTGAGACTAATGGGATTTTAACACTGAGATACCACTACAGGTGGGTAAAGGGATTTCTTTTAGTGCTTTATTTTTAGTCACTATATAAGTAAAGACCAAGTTGGAGACCATAATAGTGAACCTAAAAAGGAAACACATCAAAAATAACATTGATTTTATTTATTATTATTGAAGGAAGGCGATTCCATGATGTTACATAATCTTTAACTATATATGCTGTATTTATTTGAAGTTATACAGATATAAACTCTCAAATAGTACAGCCTTCTCTTCAATGATAATAATTAGTGTTTTCTTTCAATTTATAGATTTCTGGAGATCTATTGAATGGTCTAGGAGGCCAAAACACTTAGTTCTCACAATTCATTGTCTGTTTTCCTCAATTTCTATTGAATAGCCCTCAAACTTTGATACATTTCCAATAATATTCCCATTGTCAACTGAGAAAACAGCTAAGGAAAGTAGGTCTGAATACTAAGGAGTACTCTGCAACTTTTGTAGAGATGCATGGCTACGGACAGCAAAGCCATTGACAACAGTCCCAACAGCAAAGCCTTTGACAAGGATTCCAGTGTTAAATGTAAATAGTTTCATGCCTTTTAGGAATACTTCCTGGGCTGACATCCAAGCTATGACCTCAAGAGCAAGTCACTTTAATTACCCTTGAACAAAGCTCTGTTGGTACCTGTGATAAAAAACTTTCATACTAAATGGTTCCTCACTGTTTTGCAAAAATCCTGTTACTGTACTGTTGTGATATTAAAGTTTTATGGTGAATCCCAGTTGTTCTTTTATGCTTACTCTTCTATGTGTAAGCAATTAGCTAAGTATAACCAAAGGGCTTTACTGTAATCAAATAATAGACATGAGTACATGATGATGGGTAATAAAAGTCCCATAGATTATTTGTTCAAATGGGTGTTTGGGGAAGGAGTTAGGGGATATAACCTGCTCTGTTTTCCAAAGTGCTTCAGGAAAATTAGTCTGCTGGGCATTATTGAAGGAAAGTTCATGATTAGCTGCCAGTGAGCCTCACCCAGTCAAGTTGTCCCCATATAATTTTAAATATCTTCAGGTGCAAATCAGAGAGGAAATATTTTGGGTCTTGTGTTCATATTTGTCTCCTGAAAAGAAAGAATAAAAAATAGGTAATTCATATGCTGTGTCTTATTAAGAGTGATATATCGAACTCATGGAGATCATACTACATATGATCATTTCAGGGGACACATACACACACAAGTCAGTCTCCATTTCTTACTGTGGAAATTTAAATAATGTAGTAGGTTTTATTCTTTAATTTTTACATATGCATAGCCTCTGCCTTTGGTTGCCTTATGACTCTGACTAATACACATGGTATTTCTGTGTTCTAATGACATTGAAAGACCTTTAAAGAACATAGCCTGATAACAATGATCTGTGTTTAAGCAGTTGAAATAAAGTGAGGTAAGTCAACCAAAGGTAAGTATTTTCATAACATGATGCATACAAATGGAAAGTATCTCGAAAGAAATACCAAGTCAGTGGGTCTTGGCTCTACCGTTGATACTAAGAGTGACTAGAAGTTGACACTAAGAGTGACTAGAAGTTAGTGAGCTAGCTTAGCTTCTCGATTGAAGATATTGTGGAACATAAGTCATTCATTATGAAAGAAAAAGGTTTCCTGCTTAAACTGATATGTTAAGAACTCTAGCCAATAAAATTTATTTTTCCCTTAAAGCCAAGCAATTTTCTTAGCATTAATTTTTTTTTTTGAGTTGGAGTCTCACTCTGTCACCCAGACTGGAGTGCAGTGTCCTCTGCCATCCACCGCAGCCTCGGCCTGCTGGGCTCCGGCGATCCTTCTGCCTCAGCCTTCCGAGTAGCTGGAACCACAGGCACGTGCTACCATGCCCGGCTGATTTTTGATTTATTGTAGAGATGAGGTCTCGCCAAGTTGCCCAGGCGGGTCTCGAACCCGCGGGCTCAGGCAATCCACTCATCTCAGCCTCCCAAAGCACAGGATTACAGGCTGAGCCACAGAGCCCGGATAGCATTAATTTTTACATTAATTATTTTAAGTGAGAAGAACAATATTGTAAGTGACTTTTTCCCCCCAACAATCATTATTTCACTTATATAGTATTTCCTTAATATGTATCCTTGGTATTGTTTCTATTTTTCTGACTACTTAATTTTTTTAAAAAAATTAATTATATTTTTCCCATTTAGTTCAATTTGATTAATTTTCTGTTACTTTAATTTTAATATGATAAGCAAGATCATGATAAAACAAATCAGGTCATATTTACCTAGATATATCCATTTCTAAAAACATATTGATATTATGTATTTAAGCTTACCTTATGGAAATTTATTTCGATGGTAAATGTCAGTCCAATAAAATCTCATCATGAAAAAATCAGCCATTATAAATGATGTATTTTCCTCTGAAAAGGAAAAGATGACAGACATTTCGTGGTAGTAGTTTTTCCATGTGGCAAGGAAAGCTATTTTAAAATAATAGTTTGTCCTTTCTCTTAAAATGTGCAGTAGCCTTACCAGTTCAACATGTCGAGTCTTTCCAGTCTACATTAATATATACTTTTATTAATTATTTCCTTTTGTGAAACTGACCCGAGTTCAACTGATGAAGAAGCATGGCTTCAGTGTTATCTTCAGAAACACTGAATCCCAACTAAAGTTCATGGCTCTGAGAAGGAGGTCCTTCAAGGTAGAAGATGTTTGAATGTTTTTATGTAGACACAACAGAAAACAAACAATAAATAAAAACTCCTTTGTTTATTTCTTCAAAATTTTGAAATGGAAGAAGAGATTTTAGGTATTTAATGAGCCTCTTTTAGATAAACAGATAAAATCAAGCATTTTCTTCTAATATTTAGTATATTTTAATCCTGATCAAAATAATACATTAAGTCCATAAGGTACTCCAGATATAGAGAAACAAAGACATATAACAATATATTGATTCACTTTAAGTTCATCTCGATATCATTTATTTGCATTTTTATCTGGAAAGACTGTTTCTTTAGACAGATATCAAACCAGTCCCGTTTATGATCTATCTTGAATGTCTAAAGAAATAAAAAGATAAGTATGACCAGCCACTCTCTACATTCACTACTCTCTTCAAATTTTTATTTTGGGGTGGTATTTTTGTTTTTGAATCAGGTTTCATAGAAATTTATGTACATACTGAAAAATTCATGTTATTCTATATAGTTAGTATCATTATTCAGTATTAGATAATTCCAGGAATGGATTGCTGATTGTTGTATTTCCTTTCCTCTTACTGTTGTCTCATATTTGAAATTTAAGCACTGCATTGCTCTTTAAAACTTGAGTCAGAGAGTGATTGGGGAACAAGGTGAAGATGAAATCAATCTCTCTTTGTTTTTTACTTCTGCTTTTTACAAGTAGTAGTAAGAGAACTAAGAAGACTCATAATATTGTGCAAAAAAAGAAGTTTTAGAAATAATTCTGAAATTCATTTATCATTCTTTGTCATCTATTACTATGACTAAATTTGGTTCTAAACATATGCTGGTATTATAGTTGTCAAGTGGTATGCAGTGATATGGCTTTTAAACCAAACCCATATGGAAGTTTTGATTTGGTTTTTTAGATCTCAAAATTTTTCAATTATGAGTTTTTTATATAAATAGGATTATGATATATTACTTTCCAAATATGTGGTGTCATGTTTTCACCATACAGATTGCTATCAATTCACAAATGTATGTTGAACACCTGCTGTGAGCAAGGCATTGTCAAAAGAAAGAGATATGACATATACATGACATGTTCAAAGATGTCAGACTTCATGCCTATGCATTGCATTGTCAAATATAGCATAAGATCCTGGCTTGCAATCTGTGCTATTACTTTCCTTTACCTCACATAACAGAAGGGCACAGCTTTTAATTTGACGAGTATTGAATGAAGTGCCATCAGTGGCATGTGTTAGGAACACTTGTCTTTTGAACTGTACAATATGTCCTAGCTCCTCTTTGGTAACATCCTGATTTTAAGGGAAAGATATATTGTTGGCTCACCATGGAATATTAGTTCTTCATTAGTATTTCTCTTCCATATTACTCCATCTACTGCAGCAGAAAATATATGCACAGAGATAAGCCATCCCAGAAAAAACTATTCTTACCCATGTGGTGACTCCTTTACGTTCTTGTTCACAGAAACCACAGCAGACTGATTTATCATTCTCAATAAACTTACAAAATAAAGCAAAAACCATCAACACTGGTCTACGACTCCTGAGAGAAAGGTGCACAGGCTATTTTCAAAATGTGTGTGTGGCAAGCACTACGTTTTAAAAATGTACCATTTTATTTTTATTCACCGTGTGGGAGGGAGTAGACAGCTGGTAGTGGGAAGACACCCACTGGTTGTCTCCAGTGAGTGGTGTGTGGTTGTGAGGAAAGCCTGGGTGTAAGTTTCACACAGTCAAATCTTCAAATGGAGAAATGAAGTCCTCACTAGCACCAACTGGCTGCCCACTTGCAACTATTTTGCAAATAATAATAATAATAATAATAATAACAATAGTAAAAACAAACCCCTTTTTAGTTCTTGGAGACTAAAAACTAAAAGTCCTATCAACTTTATATTGGAAAATGTTGGTTCTTTAAAAAATACTGCTATGGGGACATTAGACTACAAAATGACTTTTTTGTTTTTACAAGGCCTGGATTTTCGTTTTGTTTTGCATAGGAAACAATACAGATGATTTAGATAAAGGAATTGGACTAGTGTCTCTTCTGAGAGTCTAGGACTCTCTCCCTAACTGGTAGATTTTAACTATTCTTGTGAGAATTTCAGCAGTTAGCTAAGAGAGTAGTTTAAAACATTAATTTGTTGAGAATGGCACTATTAAATGTACAGACCAATTCCTGGGACTGTGTCTTTCCAGGATTACAGAATCTTTCCAAGATTCTCCACATCCAGCACTGTAAAAATCATGGAATTGTGACCAAAGTCTTCCATTTTTCTCCTGGGTATTTGAGACTATGTGACTGCAAGTGTGGCTCAAGTATACTAAATGGTAGAATGAGGGAGGCCCTATCTATTCACTGTGTGTGTGTGTGTGTGTGTGTGTGTGTGTCCCCTCATCAAGTATATACTACTTTTGGAGGACCAGACAGTCCTGCTGGATACTCTGAAAAGCTATGAAATTCAGAATTGTAACATAGTTTTCATATTGTTTTTAATTTCAGCTCTGTTTAACCTCATCCCTGTGGGTCTTCGAGTGGTGGCTATTCAAGGAGTTCAAACCAAGCTGTACTTGGCAATGAACAGTGAAGGATACTTATACACCTCGGTAAGCTTTTGACTATTTGCATGTTTTGACTATTCTAGTTTTCATCTGATATGAAAGAAAATGTGCTATATGTTATCATTGCAGATTTCTGTGATGAGTTGATGGAAATATCTCATTGAAAGGACAAAGTAACTTCCTGTGAAAATTATATGTATTATCAATTAATCATTTGAAGCTAACATTTTAGCATATAATCCAAGATTCACTGAACGTTTTTGCATACAATGTCATTTGGGTTTTTTTATGTGGCATATAATAGTCTGTCTTACTGTTATGCTTTGCAGCTGTGGAAAACAAAGCCATTTCTATAACTCAGTTAAACACATATTTATCCATGTTTACTCCTAAAAAAATTAATGAGATCTCTCCCTCAGATCAATCCTAGGACATAAAGACCAGCTCTAGAATTGTCTCTAGAGTTGTATTTCTTATTCTCAATTAGGGCAGAATTGCTGATTTAAATACTATTTTCATCAAGTACAATTTAACTTTTCCTCAAATATAAATTCATGCTTGCTTTTCTATTACAAGTTTGGAGTGAGCAGAGTGATAAATGGAACTTTTTTTCAGGCAAATGCATAGGCAAAATAGACTACAACGCAATACAGAAAATGGGGCTAAATTAAACTTTACATTTAAAAAAACATTTAAATATAAGGAAAAATGGTACAGTCTGAGGGTTAAGATTGTATTCTTATCAGTAGATCTAGTTTCAGATTACAGGAGACCATTTGATATATGATATTATTTAAATATCTGTTTTGAATTCCTGTATTATAAGAAAAGGATAGGAAGTTTAAAATAGAGAAAATTTCTTGTCAGACTTCCTACTTGCCAGCCTTGAAGAAGGCTATTATATGTCCATTGAAATCTATTCCTCAAACTGCAAGTAAAACACTTACATTTAACAATTCTTGCTCTCCTGTTATCTGAATTTATTTCAAAGCCAAGTGTGCAGAAAGACTCTTGGCAGACATGCTGGAGAACATGTCATCACCCTGTTTTTCAGTGGCCAAGATGGAAAAGAAGTAGGATAAGAGTAAGACCACAAAGGGTCTGTTCATTTGGTAAATCAGACACTCCATTTATATTATAATAAAAACTATGATAAAAAGATAATTTTCAGGATACACCTCAAACTTTGGTCACTATCAGCATTCCTACTAGACCATTGCAACAGTCTGATTACATAATAATTATGGGGATTTTATTCTTTTTGCTAAACGATGGATTTAGTTTTATGGAAAACGAAGAAATGTGTCACTTTAGTATACAGTGCTACTGTCAATGGTAGAAAAGGTGATTTATTTTGTATATTTCTGCATTAAATGGTAGTATAATTTAATAAAAAGGATTTTGAATTACCTCATTGAGATCAACAAGTAACCTTATTTAGATCTTCCTCAACAGGACCAGATGCAAAGGAAGGATTTAAAAAAAAAATAATGCTTTCTGAAACTATTATACTGTCATAGTAAGAAAATGGAATATACTGGGAATAGTTTTGAGAAGGCAAATCCCAAAAGGCTTAAAGAGTAATTACTGGCAAAGCATCCAGAATTTCACTGGGTTGTAGCCCCCATTATGGCGCTCCAACGAGAAAGGTTGACTAAATATAAATCTTGCAACAATACAATAAAAATAAATTTTTGAAATAATATCCAAGTAAGAATGGGGAAAACCATTTAACTTAGGTTATATGTCAGGTACCCCTACTCAAGGGAATCAGGACATTCAGCATTGTATTTAAAAATTTGATATTAAAAATGTGTAACCTACTTTCAAGTTGATCATTATTCCACAAACTGAAAAATGTCAATTTGAGCTCATTTCTAAGACAGGCTTCCCAGGAGAATCTGCATTTTAGATTGGTGGACTTTCTTTCCACTATTAGTAAGCCATAGACAACCAAATGTGGAACACCTTGTATGCATTTCTTATTAAGGGAAAAACACTTAAATAAGCATTTCAGATTAGAGAAAGGGTACCACGTTTTTGTTAAGGAGGAAAATGCCTGATTGATGATCTTTTTGTTCATGTAGGGGAAAAATATCCAAATTGTTCTACTATAGGATAAAAAACCGAATTATCTTTATGATTAACTTTCCAGTTCTTCCCGTTACTCCTTATTGCTTATGACTTGAAGTCACCTCACCATGTTGATTCCTATTCTCAGTGAGCACTTCATTTTGTTGTTATCTTATTTAAAGTGTGGTGCCCAAACTCTGTTAGGATGGAGGTCTGTCTTAATGACTTCAGCAACTAGTGTTGTTGAGACCACAAAGCTCAATAAAGTATCATGCTTTATCAAGAAGAGAAGGTGACCAAAGAGAAAGCATCACTCTTCCTTAGCACAGAAGCACTTTTACTACAGAAATATGGTGTGCAGTTTTGCAACTGTCTTTTAAAGAAAGAATATAGGAAACTACAATGACCTAAGGAGAAAGCAAGAATACAAAAAGGAAGGGTAAGGGGCTACTGATGTGGACAAGTAAAAGAAAAAAATGTGTGTTAAGAAGTTATGGCAAATAATCTTGGTGTGGAACGATTCTGGTCTTCCTTAAAGCAGTTTCAGTGGAAATGGTTAAATTAATATGGATTGCTGAATCAGTAGATTTAGTAGCAGATTAGATTTGGGGGTAAAAAAGCAAGACCACCGTATATGGTTGAACATGTATGGTTGCCATTCACTGCACAGATGGAAATGAAGTGTCTTCAGGTACACATATTTTTTTTAATATACACAATAGTGCTCTGTGGATTACCAAGGATCATGAGGAGGAGGGAGAACTTTATCTTTGGCATCTGAGTTGATGGTGAAGCTATTAATCAAATGGGAATAAAGGGAGAAAGACGATGTGGGGAAGAAGCCACCTGAATACAGCTTGCAAGAAATATTTGAAAATATGGACCAAGCTCATGAGAAAGATACGTGAGCTAGAGATAAAACTTGGAAGTTATCACATGAAGGTAGTGGTTGATTCTATGCGAATAGTTGTGAGAATATGCAGCATAAGAAGAGAGTTTGTCAAACAATATTAGAGAATAACAGCATGGAAGTGGCCAGCAGAACTACTACTTCTGGCAGATATAATGATATTGCAAAAGCTAAATGAAGAAAGAGTTTTAAAACGAGTCAGCCATGTCAAATGCTTCAGAGAAAACAAGTAAAACCATGGTCTTACCATATGAAGTTTTTAGGAGATCTTGACAAGAGTAGTTTCAGTGGAATAGTGGGAACAGAAGCCAGACTGTAGTGGCTTGAGGAGTGAATGGGAATAGAGGAAGTTGAGGCAGTAGGTATAGGATTTCTAAGGAAAGGGGCTAATTGGGTGAGTTTTAAAAAAAGGAGGATACAGTGTTGAGGAAGTTTAAGGGTTACTTGGTTAAGGAAAAAACACTCGAATATGTTTGCTGAGTGAAGGAAAGAAACAAGTAGAAAAGGAATGATTAAAACATAGGAAATTTGCCAGGCTGGGTGGCTCAGCCTGTAATCCCGCGCCTTTGGGAGGCTGAGGTGAGTGAATTGCCTGAGCCCGCGGGTTCGATACCCGCCTGGGCAACTTGGCGAGACCTCATCTCTACAATAAATCAAAAATTAGCCAGGCGTGGTAGCCCACGCTTGTAGTTCCAGCTACTTGGAAAGCTGAAGTGGAAGGATCGCTGGAGCCCAGCAGGTCGAGGCTGCGGTGGCCGGGAACGGCCACTGCACTCCAGTCTGGGCGAAAGAGTGAGACTCCAACTCAAAAAAAAAAAAAAAATAGGAAATTTGATCCTTTATGGAGTGGAGCCCCAGAAGAGATGGAAGGATGGTGATGATGAAATTCAGAGTCCAAGTGAAAGATTTAAATTCATTTTGAAAAGAAGGTGTACTGCTTCTGTAATAGAAAGCACAGAGATGAGGACAGATGCAGACATAGTTTTATTGAGTCTGCAGGTGATTGATGAGGAAGTTAAAGGATTTCCTGCTGGATGACCTGTATTTTTCCATTAAAATAGAATAAGAGGTCACCTGTTAAAAGTCAGAGGCATAGGAGTACATAGGCAACGGGTTGAAACAGCTCTTTTGGGCAAGGAGAGATGAAACAGTTTAATTATAAGAGATAGGTAAACTGAGGCCATGGGCCAAACCTAGTCTACCACCTGTTTTTGTAAATAAAGCTTTATTGGAGTACAGTCACACCCATTCATTTACATATTGTTTATGGCTGCATTTGCACTAGAACTGCAGTTTTGATAGAACTTTTATGATCCACAAAGCCTAAATTATTTACCAAATAACTTAGCCCTTTACCCAAAAAATGTTTGCTGATACCAAACTCTAATCAGACAGTGGTCCTCAACCTTAGCTATCCATCAGAGTTACCTGGGGACCTTTAAAAATTCCATTCACTATGCTATACTCAGATTAATTATATCAAAATATCTGAGGGTTGGGTCTGTCCATGAGTATTTTCTAAATCTCCCCAGTTGATACTTATAATAACCAGTGATCTGGTACTAAGAAAAATGATTGCTGAATAGCACTGAGGATCATTCCTCTAATTAAGTCAGAAACCATGAATTTACATGCACTTTATTTCAAATTTCTGATGCCAATCTTTTTCTGCTCTTGCAAGCAAATTGCCTTTACTTTTCTGAAGGACTATATCTTGAGATGATGAAAAATGTTGATCCTAGGAAGAGCTTTCTTATTTTAATCTCCTTTTCTTTTTTCTTTCTTTCTTTTCTTTTTGCATTTCTGCTTTTATATCCCTCAGTTTCTTTTGAGTTCAGTTTTATATATTTTCAACAATTTCCCCCGCCACCCGTTTATCTATTAAATAAAGATGCAACACCTCTGTGTTATTACTGCTACCCAGACAGCAATTTACTTTCCATGAGTAATCTCAGAATCCTTGCACTGCACCCTCCCCTCCCCTTTCATTCTTGTTGCCATTGGGGACAGACTTGATGTAGGCTCAAGTGGCAGTGCAAAACCATCGGTGGAACAGAGAATC